TAGCTGTGTATATACATATATAGAACCGTGTGTGAGTAGAATCGTGCGACAACGGGCTTTACCCTTGTGTGCCGTCGTGCAAGCGTGGGTATGAGGTATTATACACCTATATACTCTCCGCGTCGCTCTTCTATATTCGTGACTCCGTGCGGTGAGCGACTCTTTATTCGTGTGCATGTGTTACGTAGGACGCGACGAGACCTTACACGCTAATCGTCCTTACACCCGAGCGCGGAAATTGTTGGATGCGTGATTATTTGTTTCTTGGGATACAATCAATCCAGAGGACCCAAGCACCGTTGCAACCGTAATTGATACTCTGTGTATTTTTTACGATGACAGGCTGTTTCTCCTTCGTGTAAAATTTTTTGTTATAATTAATTCGAGATGTATATGGATGGATGTATAAGTTTCAATGAAATTTAATCCAATCAATTTTCATCATTCAACTGACAATAGACGAAATTCTGATGAACGCAATACTTTGGATTTAAAACTCAATGTAACAAAATCAGAGGGCGAGCATGCAACGGGAACGATGTGCTGTTCAAGATGACGTTCACCAACGATGCACTTGGTCGATTTACCATTCGCAGTGATGAAAAAAAAAAAAAAACAAACAAAAAAAAAAAAAACACAAACAAAGTCGGACAACGAGTGGAGCAAAAGACACGAAGGAGAAAAAAGAGACACCAGAGGGAGAGATAGGGAGGGGGGGGGGCGTAAAGAGAGCTCAGTGGAAATTGATGGATCTGCGTCAAACGTTTATTCATCGAGCGATGTCAATGATGAGACACATGCAGAGGCGTACACACGTTGTATGGCTGTTGCTCCAGCCTCTTCCGTGCCGCTGTGGCTCATGTATACGTATACGCGTCAAGCGAATGAAAGCGCCTTTTATCCTCATCGTGTGTCACTCTCGACTCACTCCTCTTTTTTTACAATATACCCGCGCTCACCCACTGTCATACCTACACTTTCCTGCATCTGTGCTTGCGTGTCCAACTTTGCAATGCAAAGCCCATGTTACACGAGTAATCGCGACATAAGGTTTTTTTTTTTCTTTCTTGCCCTGATCGCGCATCCTTATGCTTAAGGACGACTTTCCCTATACAATTACGTTGACGCGCTTACATATCCTATAATTATCGCTTTTATCCATGAAAAAAAAAAAAAAAAAAAAAAAAAAAAAAAAACAGCGAAGGATTCTACGTTACATAGAGCAAGAGCTTTTTATTTTTAATTTTACGATGATTAATCGAACGAAACCAGCCGAGATGGCTGTGCCCGTGATACGTTAAATGAGCAGTCGATATGGGCACACTTGCAAGCGGTCGTCAGTGATCGATTGGTCGTACTCTTTGTGCAGGAAGTGAAATTTCAACACGAAACGAGCGATTGTCAATAAGAGGAAGCGCCGCCTCAATTAAATGATGCATATAATAAGTAAGGTGACATGTTTCATGCTAACACACCTATGTATATGTATAGTGTACAGAGTACGGACATATAGAGCGTGTGTTTTTATTATTACTTGGATAAGATACGACGATTGTAAATAAACAAACGATCGACCGATGCTGAGAGCGAGATAAGCTTTCGATAAGTTTATCAGGAATTCGATGCGAGAGCCGGTGCACCACCACCAAGTGTGAGTTGCTGTTCAATCATTAAAAAAATAATAAAATCCCGCGGCATGTGGCGATGATGTGGTAAATGTATATTGTTAGTCTACTTTCATAGTCTGTTACCACATTTTAGTCGTGAGAGATTAATCAAAATTTAGCCAACGTTAAGAAAGTTTGTTTCATCTTTGGATGTGTGTGTGTGTCAACACCTTCATGGTATCATGAATATAATTATATCCTGCGTTACTATTAAAAAACGAGGCATCAATTTTCTAGGTGCTCAGGTAAAACATTTTATTACACCTGTTACTGCAATATAAACAAAAATTTTATTCCCAAGAGCCGCAAGATCGCTCGTTATTTCCGAGATAAAAGAAGAAAAAGAGGAGACCGTGTGACTCTTCGAATGATGGACAGCCTTTAATCATGAGACACATCAATCATTAAAAAGCCATTATCAAGCCCGAGAGTCCCTCTTATCGCGACGAGCGTCGACCGGGAATTTATTTGCAGTCAAAAAAGCGAATGGCAAGTTACACACCGAACTGAAGGACGAACGTATTTCACGAGGAAATAAATTAAAAAAAAAAAAAAAAAGCAAAACTGTCAGAGTTTCAGGACGAAATATGCCCCTCTTTTTTTTCGAGAGCTAGCGATTTTGCATTTAACACCGATGAACACGCGGAAACACCACACTCGAGCGAGAATCAATCAAAGTCCGGACGCGAGAGCGAAATTTCTCAGATGATTGACACGCGTTCGTTCGCGTCATTATACGCGAAAAAAAATGTACGAGGAAGGGGGGGGGGGGTAAAAATTGGCTCGAAAAATCGCGAGCTCTGATCGGCCAGGCGACACACGTGCTCTAATTGGCAAGCTACGCATGCGTCCTCCCCCCCCATTCTTACCACCCATCTCCGCAAAAAACCCCCAGTTGTCTGCCTCTCCTCTTTATTCTCTTAATTTTTCATTTCATTCCTAACGCGTGTGTGTATATGGGTATGCATATGCATGTAGGGGCGGGTACACGCGCAACTGTATCCGGGGCGCACACTGCACATGATTTAGAGACACCTGCTGTGTCGACTTTTGTTTACTCGGCCCATGCTCGCGCGAGTCGGTAGCTACTTAGTTGTACGTGTACACATATATATATATATATATATATTCCTCTCTCGCGCTCGCACTTACGCGGTGTTGTATACATAGGCTGTTTCGCGCTCCTATATACGTATAGAGCGCCGATCGCACGAGGGAGATAAGCCGGTGTAGCCGAGTTGTATAGTGTAATGTAAGCTGCGGGGCGAAAGCAAGCGATTTTTATTGGTTTCTTTCTGCTGCTACTTACACGCAAAGGGTGAAGATTTTTTCGAGTTGCCGGGGAATCAAAAGTCGTCGCGTGTTTGGAATCGTCGAGCTCGAGTGGATGGGTTATTTGAAATGGTAAAAAAAATTTCATTTTTTTAGTATAGATTTTTGGCTTCTCTGGCCCACTTGACACATAAAAATGGCCTGTCATTGAGAGACGGTTATTTCTCGAGTGATTGTCCTCAAATTGATGTAACGATTCTGCCCCGACCGGCGAGTATCGAGGAATAATTTCCAAACGCCGGCGATTTACAAAAGGTAACTGTTGTATACTTTGGCGTTTATCGCTCGTGCCAACCTTTTTTTTCGCGAAGAAGAAGATTACTATCGACCGCTGGTGCGTACATTAAAAATATTATCAGACCGATATTTCAGGCAGGCAACCGCGGTCACTTTTCACTGCGATCGGATAACATCTGCGAAACAGCGAGATAGCGGTAGCACGTACACGGGAAGTCCCTCTCCTGGTGTAAAATATTCGCCACGATAGAGTGTATCGTTTTTTTTTTTTGTTTTTTTCAAGGAATTAGAGAGTACAGAGAGAGACCACGCAACGCGCCTTATGTACCCCCTTGATTGCTGATTATTGCTTCGGCGGAGACTTTCTACGGGAGCCGTATACGGTGAAATAAATTTCAGCGATTTTCCCTTCGATTTTAAATTGTTCCGGATACAGTACAGAGCTACGCTATACTTTGTAAGTTCTGGTACACCCATTCGTAATGGAAATCGGGCGCAAGTGTCTCTAGAGGATTTTCTGTAAAGTTAGTCCATAAAGAGCGCTGTTTCGTAATTACGAGTACGTACATCAGTTTTATCGCAATGGCACAACGATCATTGCAGTTAGAAAATATTACATACCTTCCAGAAATTCTCGAGAGACGATGAATTTTTATCTGGTTTTCCTTACAAATTCTCGCGAGACCATCGTTTCTTTGGAGATGCGATAAAAATCTTCTCTAGTTGTACGTACAAGTCAAACGTATGATTCATTTATATTTCGAGTACATTGACAACGATCTCAAGTGTCTTTAATTTTGATTGGTGGACGGCAGTCGTTAACCAACATGGTAATAAAAATTTGTACGAGCAGAAAAAAAATTTAACGCAAAAAGGTGAAAAAGATACATTACAAAAAAAAAGTATAAAATGCGAACTTTGTAAGTAGTGTGTAAACAAGACTCTCATACTCGAGCTTATCGCACTGGTACATCTTTTCATTCAGCCGTGAGTCGCGGTGGGAGAAAATTTCTCGCGGATGACACATCAGTGCGGGACGCTTCGCTCGTCAATGGGCGGTTTGTTTTGACACTTCTCCTTTGACAAGAGAGCTAATTCTTTTTCGAGCAAAACGATATATACTGTCATCGCTCGCGGTTTGACGGATCACTCCGAGCAAACACCCGAAATCGACCGTTTAGTGGTAATTTTAATTTCGCAACAAAGCAGGAAATGCTTGACGGAGAACAAAGGCGCGTTCAAAGTTGGTGCAAAAAAAAAAAACGCTTAGCCAAACAGGTTCACAACTTTAGCCGCTTACTCTTACTGATAACTCGAGCAAATACAATTTGGAAAAGCGCGCATCCGTCCACGTGTTCCGTAAATAAGCCCATTAGACTCGAACAGGCACTTTTTACAACGCAATACCGATCACTGACAAAAAAAAAGTCCAGCATCGCCACTCTCGTATCCTGCACGAATATTCTACCTCGACAAAAGGCCTATTCAAGCAAATCTAAGAATGTCGCATTAAAATTCACGGACAATAAAGGGACCTTCGAGCAAACGTCACGTTCGTCACGAGTCTCAGCCTAACAACGGAATAAAAGAAAGGCACTAAACGATCGTCAACCATACCGATCGCCCGAATAACTCTGAATTAGAGAATAAGCAACCAATAGCACGCAACATGCTTGTCGAGACGGCAATGGCAACAATTGCCGATTAGCAAACTTCACAACACATCTCGTATACGGAGATGGAAATAATAACGTGGATACACACCGTGCAAGTAGTGGTTCCTGGCGAGGATGGCGACTAAATCGTCGAGGCTGCCGAGCGATCGCGGACGCCGGCAGCATCGGCTCTCCGGCACTCGGTGCGCTCTCGCTGCATGTCTCACCATATCACCGCACTGCTGTACTTATTTTTCTTCTCATTATCCTTCCACTCACTTTTATTTTTAATCAAGCTTTCAAAACGATCGGTAACAACAGAGTTGATTACACAATAAATGGATCAAAAACAATCGGAGCACTGAACGAGAAAACCCAGTGCGTCTGCTCACTAGTCGCCGATCACTTTGGTCTCATGTCGGCTGGGCTCACTGAAACTCGACGTAAAGTAGGAGGATGGGCCCTCGCTTGAGGCCCCAGCCGAGCTGACCGGATATCATTCGTCACTCGCTGTCGAGACGCGCACTCGGCGTCATCGGTACAAGAGTACCGGCCACTCGTCGACACGAAGACACGGCAAATATAAAAAGCGCGCACATAACGTGCGAGTCACATTAACCGGATACAAGCGCGCCTCCACATATATTTACACGCTCCCTCGTGTGTATAAACTAGCGGATGAATCATGTGTACACAGCAGCGACGACGACGACACACCAGGTGTGTTGTTTCGTCGTTTTGGGGTCGCACATGTGTGGCGATAACGCCACTACTGCTGGAGAGATAAGGAGAGCCGTTCACAGACATCGAGCACACTCGCTCTCTGTAACTACACTGATAATAGATTTTTTTAGCCAGTGTTTTTTTTTCTTATTGGTTTGTTATTAAGTAGACAATAATGTTAATTTAACAAACGAGGGTAGCAAAAATTAATTTCAATAAAGATCAATCAACGGTGCGCGAGAAAACAAAGTCGCGGTTTATTTACGAGCCTATGCGGAGCGAACGAGCGTTCGATACACCCTTCCGCGACGGCAGCACGTGGCGCACTGACGGCTCGGCGGCTCTAGTCGCACCCCCCTCCAGCGTACCGCCCCCTCCCCTCCGTCTGTCTCCCTTACTCGCTAAGAGGCGCCCTTCCCCGACGACGACAGACCGCTCGTCCGGCATCAACACAGCAGTGCCCGCACGTTCTCTCTTCCCCTCACACTGCCCCTTACCCTGCTCTGACTACTTCTGTCTTTCTCTTCCACTGGCTTGCTATACACACCTTCCCAATAGACAGAAAGAGAGACGGAAAGGGGAAGTGCACCCCTCCCTTGGACCCGTCGCTCTCCCCACTACCGGGGTGGAGTGCTTTATCTGTCTCTCTTGCTCTATTGCCGATGCCGGCTGTGTACTGCCCCTCCAGTCGCTCTCCTTTCTCGACGCACCATGAAGCTGCTGGACGGGAGCAACGGAGAGAAGCGCCCATTCCACCCACGCCCCTCTATCCCACTTTACGAGTTTTCAAGTCCCCCGTCTTCTCTCCTCCTCCCCCCGCCCCCTGCAAACGTTCTCTCGCTCGCAGCTGATTGCCCAGTGCGCCCTGATTATCTCTCTTTCTCCCTCTTCCCCCTCCCTCCCCCCACTCTCTCTCTCTCTCTCTTGCTCTCTGTCTCTATATACTTGCATGCATGTCCAAGAGTCACGCTGTGTCTCTTTCGTTCCTTCTGCACCCCCGGGAGGATTTCTGTGGGGCTATTTCGCTTCTTTCTGCAGTCTCGTCTGTCTGACCTGTCTCTTCTTCCTCCCGCCTGTCCTTCCTCTGGTTTCTAGATCCCCTCCTCCGCGTCGCCCCTCCCCTACCTGTCGTGGCTTTCGCGTACTCCTGTCCGTCTTCGTCGAGGCGAGCGAGTCTTCAATCGAGTCTCGTGTACATACATGCACCGAGTATAATAGCGCGTCTGTGGGCGTATGGGATGATTGGATTATCTTGAGAAGGAAGAAGGGGTTCTCTGTTGTTTTTTCGATCGATGCGAGGCTTACAGCTTTTTTTTAAATTGTAAGCTTTTCTCACGGGACATAACACTTATAATCATGCTGAGAAAAAGTTACGTGCACAAAGTTAAATTTGACATCAATTATTACAATGAAAACTGAAAGTGTTGAGCTTTTTCATATTTCATACCTATACTGTACGGATTACTGTGATGACATCTCTGTAACTTACCTGAAACAAAAAAAACAGACAGATTACTGAGTGGTGTTTTTTTATTTATTCATATTTTCATCTAAATCGCAAGTATAAGTGTATTGAAAAAAAAAAAAATTCACAAATTATGTATCATAGAAAACTAGTATTTTATAGATAAAAACGTATTAGACATGTAAGTCACAGATTCAAATAAAACTTAANTCGGACGAAAACGGTAGTTATTAGCTTAAAGGTATTTCCGAGTGAGCGCGGATGTGGGTGATGATTATCGAACTACCGTAATTAGGATCATTGAGAGGAGCCAACGACGCCGGTGACCTTTTTCGGGAGAGGGATCACCGCTGGATGGACGTTTTTACGACTTCCTGTGGAGATTTCTTCTTTCTTCCCGGTGTAAAATATTAAATGCAGATTTAAAAAAAAAAAAATTCACAAATTATGTATCATAGAAAACTAGTATTTTATAGATAAAAACGTATTAGACATGTAAGTCACAGATTCAAATAAAACTTAAGTATATTTTTTAATAATGCAACATGAAGGAAGACCCAATACTGGACTTAGATTAGCACTCTCCTGTACCAAATATATAGCGAAAGATTGAAGTAAAGATATTTATATTAATATAATGTAGTACTAGCACTTATACACTTCAGCTGATACAATTATCGAGGCAATTATAAAAAGTGTTGAGAAAAGCTCAAATGAAATCCTAGAAGTAGAAGACGACATCCAAATCAAGATTTTTTAACCATGGGTTCATAAACTCTTGACGGGTATATGTCACATGTGCCAGGAATGATTTCTACAGCCTCACTGAGATCATTTATTAAAATAAGAGTACAAATATTTGTAAGACTACGTGTGTCTATTTGGCTTTTTTATCATTAGATGGGATGCTCGAGATAGTACATGAGATACTGTGGAATTTTAGTGTGGGATTAATCAAAACAGCTGCTTCGCTGTCAAACAATATTATTCATTCAAGACTTATTAACATTTTATTTACGTTTTGACACTAGTAAAATATTCAGCCAAAAATTAAGACCTAACAACATATAGATTAGTTATTAAGAAACCATTTTGCATAAGATTATTCCAAAAAGCTGGTTATGAATAGTTTCTCCCACACGGATCCGCAGTTACGACCCGAGTTAGAACGCTCTACCTAACACCTTGCTTGTTTGAATTAATTAGTGGGATGGTGAGTCGAGATGGCACTGTATGTGGATTTTCTTTGATATTTGTGTAGTTGTTTATTTATTTGCTCATTCAATATGTTCATTATTTATCCATTACTTATGTAACGTGTCATATACCACTATTGCGCATCTATTTAATAATTTTAAATCCAGTTCAAAAAGAGAAGACTGATGAATATAAATATTAAATGTCGATTGTATTACCAAAGGCGTTTTTCTGTGGTATTACTTGAACTAATGTTTGACAATTGCTAAACTGGATCATATTACAACCAACCAGGATATATAATTAATATTTTGGAAAGTGCCATTTAGTGAAATTGGCACCCGTTGGCACCAAATTTAATAATTTCTCGCTTGTTATACGCTTGCCTGATTCGACCATGTTAAAGCGATGCTGCCGTCACAAGAAATCATTTTTAAGCATGAAACTTTTTACTTTGGGTTAATTATAAATCGGACACTATGAGCTCCGATGTCCCTATAATGTATGGAATGGAAAAGCGCAAAACAGACAGGTCACCTCGCAGGGGGAGATAAAAGTAGCTCAGAAACAGAAAATCGGATAAACGATATTTATAGAGCAATTAAGAGCTTGTCCGTATACATCACATTAAGAATATTGTTTGTATACGCGAGTGTTCTCTGCCATTCACCGCACGCCCATATTTATACTCACACACACACACATAAACAGTCCGATCTGTCCGGATGAAGTTATTTCCAGGGATATGTGCGTAGAGTAAATTTGTTTAAGGATTTATTGCGCGTTAGGTGAAGAAGAAGAAGAAGAAGAAGAAGAATCATAATAAAAAGGCAAAGAGAGAGAGAGAGAGAGAGAGAGAGAGGTGTATTGTTGATAAAGTCGAGCAGTAACTCATTCAGCGCTCTGTCACGCGAATCTGGCGCGCGCGAGGAGAAGGTCGAAATGAAATGGCGTAGGAAGGCGAGTTCCTGCACCTGATATAGTGCGGCCTGCGCCGTGCAGGACGACGAGGAGGCAGGCAAGTCCGACGACGACGTGAGCCCTCAGCGCAAGAGAGAGAGAGAGAGAGAGAAGGAGAACAGCAGTACACTCGTCTCTTCAATGCGAGAAACTGCACGGCTGCGTATACGTATGTATTATATACACGTAAAGGGAGAGCAAAAGGAGCCCTCCTCCTCCTCCTCCTCCTCCTCCTCCTCCCCTGCACCGCTCAGAGCCTTAGGAGTTCGGTAATAAATCTCGGTGAAAAAACACACATGCGAGACTTCTTTCCTTTCCTCTCTCCCTCTCGTTCCTGTACACCATACCCTTCAAGCGAGTGCGCCCAGCTCGCTCTCTTACGTCTGTCTTGTTCGACTCGCACACGTCTCACGGAGCTCTCCTCCTCGCTACATATGCGCGTCCATCGCGTGCGCCTCCTTCCTTTCTTACACCCTCTTCTCCTCTCGGACGTCTCGTGCACGAATTACACTTATACTCTTCGCTTCGCCTCTCGCGTATATTTATATACATTTATACTCCGATTAGTCGAGCCGCTCTCGAGGAATTTCCGACTTTTCGGCGCAGCTGCGGGGGCGTCTGTTTATATTTTACGTATATATATACATACATATACGCGTAGAAGTAGAAGCTACAAACGAGACCGCGGGAGAACATTGCGGCTGATTAATTTATTTCGACGAGCCGGCTCTCCTATGGTGTTCCGGAGTCTTCACGCGAGGATGATTAAATTTGTCCTGGATGGCAAAACACGCAAATTTTGATTAACAATGAACTATAGTTGCAAAT